GGCTTCCAGGAGGGGATCCTCGAGCTTCCCGTAGACAGCGGGCGGCCGAGCCGCGCACGGAGACCGCGCTGCCGGTGGGAACTCTGCGCGCCTCCGCGGATGCCCCTAGCTCCGGCCGGTCGACCCCGCGCTCGGCGTTCAGGGCCCTGCGGAGCGCCCCCTTCCCACGCTGTCCTTCCGGAGCCGGGCTAAGGTGCGCTTTCGCTCCTCTTCCCTCCTTCTCTTTCTCCCACCTCTATCTCCTCCTTTTTCTCCCCTTTTCACCCTCTGCTGACCCCAAGCAAGGGGCACACCGGGTCTTTCTCCTCCTTTCTCTCCTTCCTCCCTTCTCCTCCTCCTCCCTGGAGACTCTACCGAGGAAGGGGTCCAAGAAGGGGGCATGTGGGTCCGCCTCTGACGGTGGACAGGTTTGGGGAGACACGCGCTCAGATGGCCAAGTGGCTACGAGACTACCTGAGCTTTGGCGGTCGGAGGCCCCCTCCGCAGCCGCCCACCCCCGACTACACGGAGAGCGACATCCTGCGGGCCTATCGGGAACAGAAGGATCTGGACTTTGAGGACCCCTATGAGGACGCCGACAGCCGCCTGGAGCTCGACGCCACGGGGCCCGTGGACTCCAAGGGCCCTGGGGACGCCAAGTACGACTCTCCGAAGCACCGGCTCATCAAGGTGGAGGCAGCCGACTTGGCCAGAGCAAAGGTTTTGCTGGGCGGGCCCAGGGAAGAGGTGCGTGGCTAAGTCCCAGAGGCTGGATGGCCCCAGGAGACTGGGTGGGGAGGGCCAGGCTGGGTCTCCCCTGGACTTTGGGGATGTTGTTTTATGTGTGACCCCAAGGGCAGGCCAGGGCACGGGCCAGACACTTCCCAATCCTCCACCTGCTTGGCAGAGTTTGCTCTCTGTCCCTCTTCAGTGTGCAGCGTTGGCTGTCCTCCTGCCGCTGACTGGCCCTGCTGTGTCCCCTTGTCCTCCTCCTTCCCGGTTCCCCCCTGCCAGATCCCTCCTCCCAGCTTCCCTTCCTCTTGGCAGCTGGAGGTATCTTCCTAAAACAAGTATGAGTGAGTCAGGTCTGGAACACCCTCGGCACTACTCCTCACCCCGCTTCTGTTATTACTCCCATTTTACAGAAGTGGAAACTGAGGTTCACAGAAGAGAAGTGACTGTCCCAAGCTCACATGGCTCTAGTTTGTTAGAACTTTTTGTACCCAGACCTGCCTCCAATGCCCGTGCTTTTTTCAGCATTTTTCCTAGAGGATCAGGGAGTCCACCCCAAACCCTCAGTAGACAAATAGAAGGCTTCTAGGAAGGTTACGGGAAGCTGCGTTGGGTAGTGGTTAATGGCACAGAGAAAGGTAGGAGGAGGCAGGGGAAGCAGACAACTTAGGATCAAACCCTGCCTTTTACTTATCAGCTGTGTGACCCTGAGCAAGTCACTTGCCCTCTCTGTGCCTTGGTTTCTTCCTCCATAAAGAAAGGGGCTAATGTACTTACTGTTAAGTGTTGGTATTACACGTAAATGTATGTGAAGCCTTTAGAATAGTACTGACATCTGATAAACATTAAAATTATTGAAGGAGGGAGGTAGAGGTTCTGTGTCAGGGAGAATTAGAACAGCATGGAGGAAAAAAGCAAGGGAAGCTGGCATCTGTCTATAGACACTTGTGAGTGGAAGAGAAGACTACTTGCTTGGAAGGGGTGTGTCAGTTGGCCCAGAGATGGCAGGCAAGGGCTGTACTATTGCCCAGCAGAGGTACCCAGGGCTAGGCTTGATCCCCCTGAACCCTTGGCCCCCTCCCCTTCCTTCCTTTCTCCAGTCCGAAGTCGACACTGAGTACTCAGACCCCTTTGATGCCCAGCCTCATCCCCCACCCGCGGATGATGGCTACATGGAGCCCTACGATGCCCAGCGAGTCATGAGTGGTGAGTGAGCAGGGCCTGGGGGAAGGTGTTAGGGCCCCAGGTGGGAGTGGGAGTTGACCACTGTCCTCAACCTCCCAGAACTGCCAGGCAGAGGGGTGCAGCTGTATGACACTCCCTATGAGGAGCAGGACCAAGAGCCGGGAGATGGGCCTCCTTCAGGGCAGAAACCTCGACAGAGTCGGCTGCCCCAGGAGGATGAACGGCCAGCGGATGAGTATGACCAGCCCTGGGAGTGGAAGAAAGACCACATCTCCAAGGCATTTGCAGGTGCTTCTCTGACCCTGACCTCTGAATGCCTGCCTCCCTCTATTTTCTGCTCGGGTCACATCCCCTGTTTCAAATTTCAAGTAAATTCCCATCACCTGACACTTTGGTAGTGTGTTAATTCTCACTAAAGTGTGAATGACTGTTGGTCATAAATTCCTCTTCCTGCAAGAACCTGAATCTCCCTTGAAAACTGAAACCCCTTTTAGAGTGCAATGGAACGTACTCATTCTGCTCCGTATAGTGCAGGAATAGGCTTTGGTGTCAGACTAGACCTGAGTTTGGGTCACTTACTTGGGCAAATTACTTGATCTCCCTAAGTCTCAGTTCCCTTACCTGTAAAATAGGGATCATTCTAGTACCCATCCAACAGGGTACTTGTAAATTGAGTGCTAAAGTGCTCAATTATTCAGGAGCCATTAGGGAAGAGGGTAGCATTTCTTGGACTCAATTCCTAATTGAGTTGGGTAAGCTTGGATAAGTCTCTGAACCCCAATATTAAGGTCAGCTTTAAAAAATAAAATAACTTGGACTAGGAAGAGTTGTGCAAACCAAAATCTGCCCCAGAAGTTGTATGACTGTAAGGGAAATTGGGACACAGTGCCTCAGTCTGTCTGTCTGCATATTGGGAGTAATTTTCTAGCTCTATGACTTGGCCAGAATCAGGCAGAAGTTCCAACCCACCTCTCTAGCCACGCCCCCTGCTCTCTGATTTATTACTCATGGAACTACCAGCCCCTCTTTGCCCCTAGACTGATGAATGACCACACTGCTTTCTTCTGAAGCCCCCGGTTGGTTGCTTGTGTACCAGTCTTGCCCCCGCCTCAAACCCAGCCCCTCCTCTTTTGGATTCTAATAGGTTGCCCCAAGTTGGCACCGCCTTCCTACTGAAATTCCATTGGCTTGCCCCCTACCCCAGGTAAGCGGAACTTAACTCTTCTCTCTAAACCTCCTTGTCCAGTGCAGTTTGACAGTCCGGAGTGGGAAAGAACCTCAGGCTCAGCCAAGGAGCTCCGGAGACCCCCGCCCAGAAGCCCCCAGCCCGCAGAGCGTGTGGACCTGGCCCTGCCCCTGGAAAAACAGCCGTGAGTGGGGAAGCGAAAGATGGAAGAGCCCAGTTAAATCCCTCCCCACCCCATACCAGCCACAGATTCCTCAGACCAGGGAGGCTGGAGACACTTCGATTCATTCATTCACTTCGTTTGTTTCTTCAGCTAATCTTCACTGGGTGCCAGCGCCTGCTGTGGGCCATCTCGGTTCAAAGAATCAGATGGAGTTTCCATTACCTCTAGCGTCAGATTCTTGGTTCAAATCCTTTCTCTGTATCCTTTGGCTGTGTGACCTTGGGCAAGTCACTTAACTTCTCTGAACCCCGGTGTTCATCACCCCCAAGACAGTGCCTGCTTCAAACAGAATAAAAGGGGATTTCCTCCCTGCCCTTGACTGGGACTTCTAAGCCAAAGACACAAAAGTCATTCTCACCGCCACGAGATTTTATGATGACAGTGGGGGGAGCAGGATTGTGAAGGGGTCCAAACTTTAGGCTAGGGTGAAGCTCCCAAGCTGGGAGGGGCTGGATGTTCTCTGTGTCTCTCCAGCCTAGTCATTCCTGGAGGAGCTCCTTGAGCCTCTAGAGCCCAGCCCAGGGGTACTGGGGTGTGTTTATCATAGTCATTCTCAAACTCTTTGGGAAGTACAAAACTGCCTAATTCACGCTGAAGCACAGGGTATTTTCTTTCAATACAAACAACTGGTGCTTATCTATCTTTGACACCTTGCTGGCACTGCTATCCTCTCTTTCAGCGCATTAAAAAAAAAATTAAACAATGGTACCGGTGGGTGGGGATACAGGTTGTGGCGAATCTCATGAAAGTGTTATGCAAGTGATTGGAGCTGAGGGATTAGGGAGGGGTTGAGAACACTTGGGGACCCAGCTGAGGGAGATTAAAGATCAAGGTCAGGCGTACGTGTTTAATTGAAAGGAGCAGCTCCAGATTGACCTCGGCTCAGCTGCCTCCCAGAGGAAAACCTTGTCTGCCTGAAAACTAGGCTCCTCTTGAGAAATCCAAGGGAATTTTTCTCACTTGTTTGCCTGGACGTCACAAGTCCTTGAATGAGCTGTACCTGCACTCAGCCTCAGGGTGTGTTGGAAGGGGGATCGCCCTTCAGGAGACATCCATCTCCACCCGCTAGGTGGTTTCACGGCCCGCTGAGCCGGGCAGATGCGGAGAACCTCCTGTCGCTCTGCAAGGAAGGCAGCTACCTCGTGCGGCTCAGCGAGACCAGCCCCCAAGACTGCTCCCTGTCCCTCAGGTGAGACCCCAGCCCCCTGAAGGGATAGAGGGTCACAGGACTGCATGCTTTTGACTATCATGCTTTCAGTTGAATTCAGTGGGAGCAGAGAGGTGTGGCTCCTACAGCCAGTGGGCGGGACTTTCAGGGCTCATGGATGGAGTTTTCAGGCCAGTGGTGGGACTTCTGAGGAGGCAGGCACCAGTGTGGTTTCCACTGAGAATGAGCTTACTGTCACTAGAGGTATGTAGGAAGACAGATAAGAGGCCATTCAGTAGATCTAGGACTTGAGTGAGGTGGGGAACTAGGGAGTCCCTTCGGATCCCCCTCCAGCCCAGAAGTTGAAGTACATCCATTTGTATGCGTCCAGGGCCAGAATCTCAGAGTGTAGAAATCTCAGTCTGAGACTTCAGTTCTACGTGCTTCTCTGCCTAAGATTCTAACTGTCTGATTATAAAACCCTCCTAAGAGTCTACCAGACATCTGAGTGTGAGATTCCTAGAAGGTCAGGGTTGAAGAGGGTTTGGAACCAGGTCCATATCCTGCCTCTGCCACTTTGTAGCTGTGTGACCTCGGCTAAGTCATTCAACCTCTCTGGGCCTCGGTTTCCTCAGCTGTAAAATGAGCATAATAATAGCATCGACGTCTTTATAATACTGTGATGATTACATGGGAAAATGAAACAAAACAAAAACGTGACAAAGCATTAAGAATAATGCCTAGGAAACAGGAAGTGCTTAATTCATATTAATAATGATGATAAAATAATTTCCAGATTCTCTCTCATTCCCCCCACCAGAGATGGAGAGAAAGGAAAGGGACCCTAGACTGAGGGTAACTAGCGAGGAGCCCACGACAGGTAGCAAAAGGAGTCAGGAGGTTTGGAGAGAAAGTGCCTTCCGTGTTCCCGGGGAGGGACCTCCACCTCGTAGGAGCTCCAGCCTGCCTTGTTTGGGGACAAGCTTGGAAGGGTTCCCTGCAGTGGGGAACTAGCCGGCAGCTTGACGTCAAGTGGCTGTTAACCAGAAGTATTTTGGAATGCCAGCCCAGAGCTCCTGGGCTCCACGAGGTGGTGACTTGAGGGTTGGAGAGTGTGGGTGCCTCCTCTGACCCCTCTCCTCCAGGAGCAGCCAGGGCTTCCTGCATCTGAAGTTCGCACGGACCCGAGAGAACCAGTTGGTGCTGGGTCAGCACAGTGGCCCCTTCGCCAGCGTGCCCGAACTGGTGCTCCATTATAGCTCCCGCCCGCTGCCCGTGCAGGGCGCTGAGCATCTGGCCCTGCTGTACCCAGTGGTCTCACAGACCCCCTGACCGGGAGCCTCAGCCTCCCGCCTTGGGCTGCAAGGACCCAGAAACACTGGCTGCAAACGTTGGAGGTCTTTCCAGCCCTGGAGGAGGCTAGATGGAGACACTCCCTGTCCCTCAGGCCCTGGGTCCTCATCAGAGTCGCCCTGCTCGGCCCCCTTCTGGGTTCTATGGCCCAGAATGGTGTCTGGAAACCCTCCTCTGGCCTGGAAAATAAATAAGTTATTGTATGTTTCAGGTGTCCTTTCTGGGAGATGGGGATCTCAGCCCCTCGGAAGGAGGAGGGGAGACAGACCCTTGGAGGGGGAAGAGCACCCCCAGCCCCTGGTTTTGGGGTACGGAGCTGGGGTTGGTGCCTGAATGGCTCACAGGGAGGGACCAAAACTCGGAGAGCTGGAGACAGGCAGGGAGAGAGAGATATGGAGGCAGATAAAAACCCGGAGAGAGCAGAGACCTACAGACAAAAAAGATGGAGACACCAAGGGGCCAAGGCTCTCTGGCCAACCCCACCCCCACCCCGCTCCTCCTCCCCATCCCTGTGGGTGGCCACCGGCTGATGCAGCTGCAGAAAGGACATCTGTCCCCATGGAAACAGCAGAAGGGGGGAAGGGAGCCAGCCCAGCTGGTGTCACTTCAAGGTGACAGTCGGACAGGGACCCGGGACCGATAAATGCCAGGAAGCCCCAATCTCCCCACTCACTGCCCCCTCTCCCTTCACCCCCCCCACCGCACCGGACTCGAAGCCTGCCTGTGGGGAGATACCAGTTGGGGAGGGGGAGAGCTTTCAGCTAAGGGCACTATTCAGAGACTAGGGACATCACTTCTCTGCTAATTGGACATGTCCCTCCAAGGATAAGAGGAAGGAAGCTGGTGAGTCGTCAAAGAGCCCTCACCACAGTGGTCCTCTGAGGCCCCCCCCCAGATGACTGATCTCTTCAGCATTCCCAAATTGCCACAAATCCTGGCTTTGCTTTCTTTACAAGCTTTTATTTGGTGTTCTGGGGGCAAGGGAGAGGTCCAGCCTCACAGAGATAAGGATGGGGGTCTCAGGCTGGGCTACTGGACTCCCTGATCCCCTTGGAATCAGTCACAGCTGCTGGGGGATCCTCTCTGGGTCTAGGGGTTCTGATTCCCCTTCCCACTCCCGGGAATGCTCTTGGCCTTGGCTGCCCAGAGGAGCCTGGGCCAGGAGAGACTCTGACTGTAGAGATGGGGGGACTGGGCCTGGGCCTGGGGCAGGATTTGGGAGCTAGATGCCGCTTGGGGGTGGGGGGCTGGGGAAAAGAGATCAGATAGAAGCTTTGGCTATTCTCATCCTCCCTGGGGATGTCCAGCACCTTCCCCTCCACAGACCATGCCTCACTCTTTTGGGGGGTCTTCCGGGGCCGGTATAGGACGTTGCTGTAGACTGGATTCCCTGCATTGGAAAGCGGAGGGTATGACACCAAGAGGGGACAGTCACTTAAGAGAGCCTGGCCCGCTCCAGCTCACTTCTGGGGGCTTTGTCTATACTTCTGAAAAACATGGGTGTAGGGACCAGGCTTCTCCATCTATTCCTCTTCTCTGCCCCTCCAGCCCCACCCTCCCCACTTCCAAAAGGGGCAGGTATGGAAGCCAGACAGGGATGTAGTCTATCCTCTCGCAGCTGCAGTTCCCGCCTCCGCCACCCGGGGGCGGAGTCGCCAGGGGATGTCAGCGCCCGTGGGAACCGTCTGCCCTCCGCGACGCTGCCTGCGCGGCTCCCTACCTGCGTCCGTGTGCCGGCGGCGGCGGCGGCGGCCCCAGATCCAGGCGCCCAGAGCGAAAGCGGCCACAGCCACAGCCCCCGTCACCAGCAGCGCGAGGAAGAGCCCTTGGAGGGGAGGGGAAGGTTGTGGGTGGTCCGACGGGGGGCGGGGCTAGAGGAGGGACACGTGGGCGGAGCTCACCTGAGAAGCTCTGGTCCAGGTTCAGCGGCGAGCCGTCTGCAGAGAAGAAACCTACGTCTCAGGGGTGCTCACCTTTGAGTCCAGCTTCCTGCACCCCTTCAGGGTAAGAGTCCCTCTACCCCTTATGGGACCTCAGGGTTCCTGCCCCTGCCGTGCTGTGTGAGTTTAGGGAAGTATTTGCTGTGAACCTGTTTCCTCTTCTGAAAAATGAGACTAATCATTACTGTTTTGCTGAGTTATTGTGAAATAACTGCCAACAGGACTTTTTCATCGTGAGCCCCATTGCTCCCATAATAGTCTACACCACTCCCATCACAAACCTTATCATCCCCCCCATGAGTCCCATCGTCCTCACCATGAACTTCATCAACCCCACCATGAGCTCCATCCTCCTGGTCATGGGACCCATCATCCTCATGGCTCCTGTTTTTTGAGCCTCAGAGAGCCTGAGTCACTTGCCTGGGGTCGCACACCCTGCTTTGAGCAAAGGCATTGCTCCCCTCAGCTCCCCCACCACTTTCACTGTTTCAGAAAACAAACAAACAAAAACTTACACTGGCCTGAACATTTGAGTCTTGCTGAATAATCAGCACCACAGACACAATAATAACCACTTCTGTTTATTGAGGACTTACTATGTCCCAGACCCTGTAATAAACTCTTCCGGTATGCTTCCTTTAAATTCAACTACTCTGATGAGGAAAGCACTATAAGCTGTATTTTGATAACTAAGGAAACAGGCACAGAGGGGTCAAGTTACTTGCCCAAGGTCACACAGCAAGTGAATAGCAGAATGGGCATGTGCTTTTATATTTTAAATTATAATTATAATTGACATGAATCCCAGCCAGAGGCTCCTTCTTCTGTGACTGGAATGAGTCCAGGTGCCCCCAGCCCCTTCATTCTGCAGATTCTAAAGCTGGCAGTGGTCCCGGGGTCGGGGGGCTGCCAAGCAGCTGTTCAGGGGTGAGGAAGCCAGCTGTGTGGAGCTGGACCCGTGCCCGCCCGCTCCCACTCCCTCACAGCTGCCAACAATTCACAACCTGGTGCCTCTGCCACCCCGCCTCTGCTAATTGGTAATTGGCCCCTTCGTCACTTGGAGGGATGGGGGGCAGGCAGGACAGCCATAACACACCGCCTTGGAGGCAGGCAGTGGGTGGGTCCTGCCAGCTGGAGAGACAGGGACTTCGGAGGTGGGAGCCTGCGGGCAGTTCTCCGTTCTGCCTGATAGGGGCTGGGCATGGACACAAGGCCCTCCAGAACCTCTGAGAAAGCAGGACCCTATCTGGGTCAGCTTGGGTCTCCCGCCTCATTTAGGGTTTAGCCCATGAGGGGGTGTCAGGGAGTCGGAGAAATGTGTGGCTGGGGCTCCCAGGAAAGCTGGCAGCACCCCTGGCTTGTGTGTGTGGCTTCATCCTCTGTAAACCAAGGCAGCTGCAGGTGGTTTAGCTGATCCGGAAAGTTTCTGCCAGCCTTGAGAGTCAATGGCTGTCGAGTCTCGATTCTGGAATTCTAGAATTCTTTCCTCTTACACACTCTGAGACTGCAAAATTCTCTAAGCGCCTGTCTATTCAAAGTACTTACGATACTACAATTCTAAGATTCTAGAATCATCCATTCCTTTATTTCAGTGTTTCTCAACCTTTTTTCATTATCACCCCCACTAAGGAGACTTTTTAAGACTCTTAATTTGTTCCCCCATGAAATTTTAATATCACAGATATACTGAAATCTGTTTATCTGCATGTCTGTGCTTTATGTATAAAAAAAGTAAGATTTTCTTTGCTCCCCCAAAACCAATTTTTGCCTCCTTAAGAGTGGTAGTCCCCATTGAGAACATATGCTGTAATTCTGGGGGCCTGGAATTCATGTCCCTAGCATTCTAGAACTGAGAGATTCTATTTGTAGTTTAAGATTCTGGAATTGTCCTAGGCACAATAGAAATGTGCCCATAAGTTGACCAAAAGACAAGTTCTAGGTTGTTAAATAAAATATGAAAGCAGTCAAAATAGATTTACGCTGTTAGAAGTCGGGATGGTGTGAGAGGGGCATGAGGATGGATCTGGGGGGGCAGATATGTTTCTTGAGCAGGGTGATGGGTACCTGGGTGTGCTCAGGTTGGGAGAATACATTGCTATGGTTTGCATACGTGCCTCCAAAATTCACAGGTTGAATCCTAACCCCCAATATGATGGTATTTGGAGGTTGGGGCTTTTGGGCCGTGATTAGAGAATGAGGGTAGAGCCTTCATGAATGGGGTCAGAGCTCTTATATAAAAAAAGACCCCAGGAAGCACCTCCACCCCTTCCGCCACATGAGGACACGGCGAGAGGGTGCAGGCGATGAACCAGGAAGAGGGTTCTCACCACCACACGACCCCGCTGCTTTGATCTCAGGTTTCCAACCTCCAGAATTATGAGAAATAAATCTGTTGTTTATAAGCCACCCAACCTGTAGTATTTTTTTATAGCAGCAGCTGAACTAAGACGTCCATTGAGCTGGCTGCGTCTGGCATGTACATTTCTCTGTGTGTAGGATATACTTGAATAACACGTTTTATGGGATTGTTTTGACTCAAAATCCAGAATTATATATATTCAAGAGTCTTTATGAGTGTGATATCCTGGAACAGGGCTCAGCAAACTACATCCTGTGGGTCGAATTTGGCCCACTGCCTTTTTGTTTAAATAAAGTTTTATTGGAACCCAGGCCTGCCCATTCTTACATGTACATCTATGGTGAATTGCATGCTACGAGGGCAGAGTGGAGTAGTTACGACAGAGACTATCTGGTGTACAAAACAAAAAATATTTACCAGGTGGCCCTTTACAAAGGAAATTGCCAAGCCCTAGACTGGAATTGTAGGTTCCAGTGTGTCTTTGGTACTGTCACCCAGAATTTGATGTTCTTGCATTTGTAGACTCTCTGTTCCTAAGAATCTGATTGGGAGAATTTGTGTTTCTAGGAGTCTGAGAGTCTAGAGTCTTAAGATTCTAGGAGTTCCAAGCCCCGGGCTTGCCCCCCCTCGCTCTCATACCTGCTTCCTCCACTAGGAGCTGCGTCCCGTTGCCCTGGGCCTCCTCCAACTCGGGGATCTCCATGGTCACCCAGCACACGTAGGACCCGCTGTCATTGAGGCCTACACGGTCCAGCTGCAGGGTGAGGTGGCCAGGTGGCCACCAGGAGAGCCGTCCCCAGGGCCCACACACCCCCACACTGAGACTGCTGTTGGTGATGTGTGTCTGGCACAGAGTGTCTCCGTCCTTGGTCCACTCGATATGGAGCCGCTCCCAGGCCGGGGCCTGTACCACCTGGCAGGCCAAGGTCACTCGGCTGTCCTGACTCACCTGCAGCACCTTGGGTGCCTGCTGCACACTCAGGCCGGTGGCTCCTTGCAGGGCTGGGGAACAGAAGAGGTGAGTGAGCCCTTTTTCAGTACGTGTGTGAGTGTGAGACTTGCTCTGCTAGCCGGGCCACAGGGATGGGGCACGACCAGTCTGAAAGCTTGCCACCTGTGTGATCTTTGCAAGGTCGTTGCTTGCTGAAGCTCAGTGGCCTCATCGGTGGAATGGGTCTAAGTCTCTCGGCACTTGTGAGATTTCACGGTGGCCTCTATAACGTGTCCAGCTCTCAGCCACGTAGATATCACCTCATGTGTGCCAGACCCTGTTCTGGATACTGTGGACTCAGACACAGAGGTGACTGAGATAGACAAAAATCCCTACCCTCATGGAGCTGACAGTCTAGGGGGAGAGAGAGGCACAGGAAGTCGTGAAGTGAGAATCATGATGGAAGAAAGGAATGGTGAGGAGCAGCAGAGGATAAGGATGAGGTAGGAGGGTCTACTGAGTGACAGTGGTCAGGGAAGGCCTCTCCCAGGAGGCGACGTTTAAGCAAGGATCTGAATGGTAAGAAGTAGGCAGTTATGGGAAGGAAGGAAGATATGGAGGAAGAAGCACTCCAGACAGAGGGAATGGCCTGTGCAAAAGTCCTGAGGCTGGACTGTGCCTGGTGAGTTGGAGGAACAGGGAGGGAGCCCCTGTGGCTGGAACAGAGTGAGCCAGGGGGAGAGAGGAAGGAAATGGGATCAGAGAAGTTGGCAAGGAATGGCTTATAAGAGGCTTGCCGGCCATAGGGGTCGGGTGCTGCAGAGGTAGGGAGGTGGGGGCGGGGAAACAGGAGCAGTTTACTTTTTAATATACGAGTGACGGGAAACCAGCGGAGCAGGGAGGAAATGGGGTCCAATTTAAGTTGACTGCTGTGGTAAGAACAGATATGCCGTTGAGGATATCGGGGCTGCTGGGAAATGAGGGTCCAGGAGAGCAGTAGTTGGGGCCAGACCCTCAAACAAGAGATCAGAGTCTGAACAGATTTTGAAGGTTGCCCCTGGAAGAACTACAAGAAGAACTGAATTGGGAGAGAGGGATGGTGGCAGGTTTCCAAGGTTTTAGCCCGAGGGACTACGTGAACAGCAATGGCTTTGTTCCAAGATGAAGGACACCGAGGGAGAGGCAGGGCTGGGGGAAAGAAAGAGTTTGTTTTCAGCCAAGAGAAGTCAGGAGCGCCTGTGAGACTCCCCAGAGGGGTGAATTTGTGTCAAGTTCCTGGCATTTGGGATGCCATTGCAGCTGAAGCTAGAAAGAGGAGATCTGGGCAAGAGTGTTCTGGGCAGAGGGGACAGCACGTGCAAAGGCCCCGGGGTGGGATCAGGTTTGATGTGTTGAGGGAAAAAAGAAAAGAGAGAGAAGTCAGCAACTGGACCCCAGAAAGAGAGGGAATGCAGGGGATGGTGGAGACACGAGATGCCAGTGGGGCCGGGTCACACAAGACTTACCTGCAGATTGTGGTGTGAATGTTATTCTAGGGGCCCCCTCTGGGGATCCTTGCTAGAGTCCTTCAATCCTGGTAAAGTTCTGAGTATCAAGGAGAGAGACGGAGCCTATCTGGCACAGCGGAGAGATTAAGGTTTGCAGGGGCTCCGAACTGGACGGGCAGGCAGCTGGGGCGATGGACCCCAAGAAGATGGCAACAGAGGGAAGGGAGGACCAAGTACTCACCCCGGAGCTGCACCAGGAGGACCAGCACTATGCCCGGGGACCCCATTCCTGGCCCATCAGGTCCCCCTCTCCTGGGTGGCTCCCCACCACCTCCACTCCCCTTCCTATTTGACAGACTTCCTGCCACAAAGGCATATGTGACACTCCACCCCTGCCACAGGGGCGCATGTGACACCTGGGCCAGCCAGCAGATATCCGGTGGCCACGGCTTCTTGGGGCTCCACTTCCTGTCACCTCGTGCCTCAGTTTCCTCAAAGGTTTTTTTCCCTAATCTGAAAGGTGGTATACACATGCGATGGAGATACTGTGAGGGAAAATCTTTCTGAAAGACTACATAAACTCGCCTAGGTTGGGGGGACACACTGGAAGGGCAGGTAAAGCAAGGACTGGGGAGGGGAACAGATGACACGGGCCTGAGCAGAGGACAGAAAGGCAGAATCCCAGCCTCAGTTATTTTGCCCCTAAGATGTCTTCTTTTGAGGTTCAGAGAAATGGATTTCTGCTGATGACTTTGAGTCCTGCGGCAGGTAGGGGCGTTCCCCTACCCCCACAGTCTGGGGAGAAGTTTGGGGGCCCAGTTGAGGGGGTTCATAGGCTCTAGACTTTCTCCCAGCCCTGCACCCATCACAGCTGGCAGTACCCAGCCCCGGAGGAAGAGGAGGTGGCAGATTCCTGGGCCTCAATGTCTCACCTCAGACCACAGTGTGACCTCCTTTTTCAACTAGAAAGAAGAGGGTCAGTGTTCTTCACAGAAATGTTCCTGTCAACCACAGAGAAGTCCCTCTGGTGGCGCTCTGCCCACACCTCCCAAGTAGGTACACACAGCTTCCCAGCCTCCTGCTGCCCAGGCCTCCCCCCTCCTTCAGACTTTCAGGAAGGACTTTTTGTCTTTTAGGTTATTTATTTATTTAATTTATTTTTAACGGAGGTCCTGGGGGTTGAACCCAGGACTTTGTGCATGCTAAGCATGCGCTCTACCAGTGAGCTATAGCCCCCTCCCCAGAAAGGACTTTCTGAAATTCCACTCTTCACCTGTCCTCTGCAAGGGGTGATGCTGGAGATCATGGATAAAGTCAGCCCCAGCTGACAGGCTAGACAGAGCTGGACATTCCTAGGACAGGCAGACATTCCTAGCCCTATGGATTCTGGGCAGGCAGAGAGGCTTCTGGAGATGTGAGCATCTGGGGCTTTGTGGGATGTATAGGAGTTCAGTTGTGATGTAGGGAGGGAAAGGCAGCATTGGTAACTGAACAACTGCTTAGGCAAAAGACTTTAGCTTTTCAGTAAATGCAAAGCGTGAATAGTCAAGGGCCAGATCTTGGGGTGGATGTGTGTGTAGGGCTGGGGTGGGTGGGTTGCTGTGGAATTCCAGTTTGATTAGCAGCCAAGAAGTTGCTTGGGTGAACGCGTGGATTAACTGAGGCACTAGGAGTACTAGGGATGGGCTCGAGGTCACATGGCAGTTGAACCCAGGCATCTTGACTCTCAGTTCCGGGCTCTCTCCACCTCAGACATCATTAGCAATATTGCCTGGTGAGACGCATGCTCTGGGGGTCCCGGGTCTCGGGGACCCCAGCGCAAAAGGACTACATTTCCCAGCCTGCCACAACGGGCGCGCCTGCGCGCAGCGGCCAGTGATGGAGCGCTGACTGGGGGCGCGGCAGCGGCGGCGAGGGCTCGGCGGGCCATTGGCTCCCGGCAGCGGCAAAGGCAGCCTGGGGACTAGAAGGGCGAGTAGGACCCGCGGGCCGGGCAGGAGAAGACCTGGGTTGCAGCCATGGAGCACCAGAAGGTGAGACCGAGGCGGGGCGAGGCGGGGCCCGCAGCGAGGGTGGACGATGGAAGGGGACCAGGTGATGCCGCAGCGCCCTCCCCGCACCCCTCTCAGCTGCTGTGCGGCCGAAGCCCCTCCCCGCCGCAACCCTGCCCGGATCTAGCCCCCATTCTGGATGCAGCCCCCGACCCTCGCCGCGACCCCACATCATCTTGGCCTGGGTTCAGGCGCATCCCCTCCATGTTCCCCTCGCCCGCCCAGTATCCCAGACCCAGCCTTGACTCCATCCCCTATGCCTTCCACTGGGGCTGCGGACCAGGTGTCCCGGTCCCCGCCCCACCCTGGAGGACGCCCCGTCAGCTCAGCACAGGTGACCCCACTGATCTCGCCCCGCGTGGAAAAGGACCCATCCAAGGCCTGGGTAGGGCCCCAGGCCCCAGTAGGATCCTCCCACGCCGCCTCTTTCCCTCCGGGCATCCCCGACCCCAGGCCTCCAGGCCCTTCTCCACTTATCGGGTCTTCCTCATCCCCTTCCTCAGGTACCTCCTTTCTCCTTGTTAATCCTGCCTCCCAGCATAACCCCTTCCCCAGAAGACCCTGCGTTCTGCAGGCAACCGTTTCCTCTGGAGTTTTTTTCCCCAAGCTAGCCCCTCACCCCAGGTCACGCCCCGCCCTCAGAATATAGGTACCTGGTTAAAGGCATTGTGCTCAGGCAGACCTGGCTGGGCCCCAGGGTCTGTCCTTTCCAAGACGCTCTCTTGGAGCCTCAGTTTCCTCCCCTGTGAAATGGACGTACTCACAGAGCCCCCCTGCTCTGTGAGGAATGTAGGGCCAGAGCTCCGCCCAGGCCCTGCCGGTGGCAGGTGCCCAAGCTCATTGGCAGGATAGCCCCCACATGCCCTCCCTGGATCCCTGGAGGGCAGAACAGGGAGCCTCAGGTCAGGGGGCCCGGCCAGGCAGGCTGGGGGGGCTTCCCTGTGTGTGTGTGTGTGTGTGTGCTTCCCTGGGGCAGGAGGCTCTGCGGAAGATCATCACGACGCTGGCTGTGAAGAATGAAGAGATTCAGAGTTTCATTTACTCCCTCAAGCAGATGCTGCTGAATGTGGAGGTGAGGAAGGCAGCCCCCGGGAGGGAGGCGGGGAGGGGCAGCCAGAGGGGCTAACCCGATGCTGATGTCCACGGGACTCTGGGCTTGGCTGCCACATCCAGGCCTGTATCCCCACCTGAGCACTGGTTTGCCAGTCCTGGCCATTCTGACCCCATGACATCTCTCCAAGGCAAACTCGGCCAAGGTGCAGGAGGACCTGGAAGCAGAGTTCCAGTCCCTCTTTTCCCTCCTGGAGGAGCTGAAGGAGGGCATGCTTATGAAAATAAAGCAGGACCGCGCTAGCCGCACCTATGAACTGCAGGTATGGGGGGCAGGCTCTCTCTAACCCCTGCCCAGGCGCCATCCCCCACTGGACCCCTCACACCCAGCAGAGCCCAGCCGGCCTCAGTGTCTTCCTCCAGACTTGCTCTTCCTCCTGTGCCCCTTCCCAGAGATGCCCCCATGTGTCCCCAGTGTCCAGAGCCAGACCCTCCAGGGGTGCTGGCCTCACCTCCTCTTTTCCCTGGGCTCTTCCCAACCTTCCTTGGCCTCCTGCTCTTCCCCTTAATCCCCTCTCCCACCCCCCACCCCTCCTTTCAACGGCCCTGCCCCTACATCTGGCTATTCCTCCCCTCCCATCCTCACCCAGCGCTTCTAATTCCTCAGCCCTACCGCCTGGTCCCCCAGATCTGACGGCATCACTCCTTACCTGATCCCCCCCATGGCTCCCATGGGGTCTCAGATAGCAAGCTGGGGTCTCTGGGGCTGCATTAGAACCTCCTGAGCAACTTCCTGACATCCCAGATTCCCATCCCCAGGGAATGTAGCGCCCTGGGCTCAGGTGGGGCCGGGCATGTGTGATCCCCAGGTGATTCGGATGCCTGTCAGCAGAGAGGCCCAACCTCCCCCCAGCCTCTGTCTCCCACCTGGAGTTGGAGAAGGGCGTGGGACCCGGGGACCCGCAGGCAGTGGGGGTCCCTGGGAAGGTTTGATGTGGTGGGATGAGGTGTCTCTTCCCTCGGTGCCATGAACCTGTAGAACCAGCTGGCTGCCTGCACACGAGCCCTGGAGAGCTCCGAGGAGCTTCTGGAGACGGCCAACCAGACCTTGCAGGCCACAGACAGCGAAGACTTTCCTCAGGTGGGCACTTGGGAAGCCAGACTGCTAGGGCTGCCGGACACAGCGTGGAGCACCCGGATACATTCACATTTCAGATCAACCACACGTCGTTTTTTAGAATAAGAGAATAAGTATGGCCCATGAAATATTTAGTCTAAGTATGTCCCAAAGATCACCTGGGACATCCTTACACTAAAAAAAATTTATTTGTGGTTGATCAAAAATTCAAATTTAACAACAAATAATTTTTTAGTATGAGTATATCCCATGCAAATGTTTAGTGTAAGTATCTCCCAAGTGTTACATGGACATATTTATACTAAAATACTTATTCATTATTTATTTGAAATCCAAATTTAACAACGAATAGTTTCTTAGTAACATACTGCAAGCAATATTTTGTATGTCTGAAATACTGGATGGGACCTACTTATACTAAAGAAATCATTTATTGTTCATCTGAAATTCAAACTTAACTTGGCATCCTGTATCTTTATTTGCTAAGCTAACCGACCTTATGTCCTGGGCACTGGCCAGAAGGCAGAGGTTGGAGTGGGAGCCTGTCTTTGCCCCCCGCCCCTTCGGGGCACGCCGGGGGCTCTGCCTCAGGGCTGGGCACCTGCCCCCCCCCGGCTGGCCGGCTGGGCATCGTCTTCCTGTCTGCATAGTGGCTTTCTAATCCAGTGAACAGAACTCTTTGGATTTTATTCTGTTCCTCTTTCTAGGCTGCCAAGCAAATCAAAGATGGGTAAGATGCTGGGATCTGGCACCCATGCCAGTGCCCCACCCTGGGTGTGAAGGTGGGGACGCCCAGGTGAGGGTCCCTCGGCCCAGAGCCCTGGACCAGAACAAGGGGGAGGGGGATCCCTACGCACACCTCAGAGAACTAGGCCTGGGCGTCCACCTCCTTCCCTGCAGTGGGCAGGCTGCTTCCACCTCCTTCCCTGCAGTGTGACAATGGCCCCTGCCTTCCGGCTGTCACTGAAAGCCAAGGTCAGCGACAACATGAGTCACCTCATGGTGGACTTTGCACAGGAGCGGAGGATGCTGCAGGCACTCACGTTCCTGCCTGGTGAGAGGAAAACTCACTGGAGGGCCAAGATTACAGGGAAATAGCCAGGAGTCTGGGGGGGCCCTGAGGCAACGCCTCGAGCAAGGATGACAACCACTTGTGGAACCTCCAGGAGGCCCTGCTTCAGGGGTGGAGCCCTGGGAATGCCCACCCCCAGTGGGTGGAGCCACGGGGGAAGCCACAACCCTGGCTAGTACCACAAGGAGGCCTCACCCCTGGGTGGAGCCCCGAGGAAGCCCCATCCTGTTACCGAGCCCTGAAAAAAGCCTCGCCTATCAGGGGTGGAGTCCCATGAAGGCTGCACCTCCAACTGGTAGAGCTCTGGAAACGTTCTTTCTCCAAATAGTGGAATCCAGAGAAGGTCCAGACATTTGTTGGTTGAACTCAGAGAAAGCTCTTCTCCATTCCCTACCCTTTGGTGAAGCCCCAAGGAGGCCCCAGAATCCAGAGGGGTTCCCCCAACCCTGGGATCCTGAGGAGACCCCACCCCGAAGAAGGTCTGTGTGTGGGCGGGGTTACAGCAGGGCCTGGCCCTGCAGGCCCAGTACCCTAACACCACCCCATCCTCTGCCCTGGGCAGTGCCTAGCGCCCCCGTGATCGACCTGGCCGAGTCCCTGGTGGCCGACAACTGTGTAACCCTGGTGTGGCGCATGCCGGACGAGGACAACAAGATTGACCACTATGTGCTGGAGTATCGGCGGACCAACTTTGACGGCCCGCCCCGCCTCAAGGAGGACCAGCCCTGGATGGTCATCGAGGGCATTCGGCAGACGGAACACACCCTGACCGGTAAGGGCAGCTCCGGGCTCCCGTTTCTGCATCCATCAGCCGGGGCTCGTGGATGATCCTCAGGGCTCACGGGGTGAGGACAGCCTGGCTGGACTGACTGGGAGTAGCAGAAGTAATAAGGAAAACACTACTGGCGGCCTCCACGCCACGTATTGAGGGCTTCCTCTGTGCTAAGCATTTTACCCACATGTAATGGGCATGCTTATTATCACCATTTTACAGACGAGTGAACTGAGGCATAGGGAGAGAGGGCATCCTCCATCCCTGTCATCTCTCTGACCCAGCGTTCATTCATTCATTCATTCTAATTTACTGAGCGCCTGCAGGGTACCAGGCACTGTCCTTGCAGTAGTGAGCAAAGTGGGTGAAACCTCCCCTCTCCTGGAGCTGGTGTTCTGAGGGTCACCGCCCCACGATATGGGGATTTCCTTGGCAGTTATAAGAAAGCAGAAAGCCAGGGGGAATCCATCCGGCTGGTAGGGGAGGGTCTGCAGGAGGGTAAAGTCAGGGGTCTCTAATGAGTTAAGAGGCCATCCTGAGCCGGGGGAAACCCTCATGGGCGGGGAGAGTCTCGCTGATAAGCTAAGTAACACCCCAGCGCTTGGACTGTAATCAGTCTGTTCCTTGTCTGTAATTAGCATGCATGGGTGACAACGAGTACGCTAACTGCAGGAAAGAAAAGCCACCGGCAGACCAGAGGGCCTGAGCTCTTGGTTTATTCTTTGCATGGGAATCAAAATAAACACATCCCATTTTTCCCCCAATCTTTTTTTATTGCGGGAAAAGACACATAAGGTAAAATTCGCCTTCTTAATCATTCTTAGTATACAGATCAGTTATTCAGTACATTCATAATGTTGTGCCACCACCATCCCCACCATCCATCTCCAGAACTTTTCATCTTGTGAAAGTGAAACTCTGTCCCCATTAAACACTAACTTCCATTCCCTTACCCCCAGCCCTTGGCACCCAGCATGCTACGTCCTCTCCCTGATTGTTAGTACTCATAAGCACCTAACATAGGTGGAATCACACAGAATTTGTCCTTTGGTGTCTGACTTATGTCGCTGAGCATCATGTCCTCAGCGTTCATTCACCTTGTAACGTGTGTCAGAGTCTCCTTCCTTTTTAAGGCTGAATAATATTCCACTGTATGGCTAGACCTCGCTTCCTCCAGTAGTGGCAACTTACATAACTAGGGTCCAAGACCAGGACCAGGACGCTGGCCTGGGTGCACTCCGCAATGCTGACTCACTTTTCACTAGTTTTACACGCACTCATTCACGTGTGTAATCCCATAGACAGTTTTATCCCATGTGTAAATTCATGTAACCACCACCCCAATCAAGGTGTAGATCTTCTCTATCATAGGCTTCCTGATGCATCCCTTTTACCCCTCTGGCCTTTTCCAAAATTCCTAGTGAGTGAATTCCTCAGGGCAGGAAGCTGAATCCCTCACAAAGACCTGCGATATTGATCATGAGGAATGCACTCACCTGTGTGAATCGCCTGTGTGATTATTTGCAATCCACCTACTATCTCGTTGATTGCTTGAGAGACAGGAAGGTTTGGGTTAAATGCTTGTAAGTGACATTCCTTGACTCATCTCATCCGCAGGAACCCTGCTCAGTGTGGGGAATGCGACTGCTGGTTTGCAGAGTGGGTGGTGGTCTTAGCTCTGGGGCAGTAGGTGGCACTAATGAGCAAACCACAGACTCCTCAGAGAAGGGATCCAAGGAAGGGTGAGGCAGTCTGGGTGGGCACCTGGAGGAGGTAACAGCCAGACTGAGGGCCAAAGGAGAAGTGGGGAGAGCAGCCTTCCAGGCAGAGGAACAGCCTGATCAAGGGCTCAGAGGCCAGAACACCAAGCCTTTGTGCCTGGAACTAGTTAAGTTTGCAGAGGGAACACCTGTGGGGAGAGGGGAGCGGAGGAATGGGGACTTTACACTGAGGGCAGGGAGAGCTATGGGAGGGTTCAGAGCAAGAGGTGCTGAGTGTTGCTGGAGAGGCCCAGAGAATGAACATCCTGCAGGGAATGCTTGAGGCAACTGGATGTGTGGTCTGAGCTAGAGGTTGGGCTATCGGTGCTGTGGGTGGGCAGATGGTGCCTGAAGGGTGAGAAGGGGACAGTTAGTAAAGTGAGATGAGCAGGGGTCCCAGACTGAGCCACCTGGACACTGAAGGGTACAGAGGAGCCTGCAAAGAAGACCAAGGCCGGGGAGGGTATAGCTCAAGTGGTAGAGCGCATGCTTAGCATGCACGAGGTCTGGGTTCAGTCCCCAGTACCTCCTCTAAAAATAAATGAGTAAACCTAATTACCCACCTCAAAAAATTAAAAAAAAAAAGAAGACCAAGGGGGAGCAATCAAAGGGGGCGGCTAGGAGAGAGCAATGCCATGGCTGCCTAACTTCCATGAAGGAAAGAGTGCTCAGCCAGGAGATACTGCAACATGGGACTAACAAGGCCAGAGGAGGAAGATGGAGTGAGGCAGTCGAGGGTGGGGTGTGGACAGCTATCCAAAGAGGTTTAGCTTGAGGGGGAAGACAGATTGATTGTTGCCTTTATTTTTTTAAGATTAGAAGAAATTAATAAGAAAAAAGGACAGAAAGGGAGGGTGGGATCTATCCTAGTAGTAGGGAAAATCTTTAAGGAATCAGGCATGGCTAGATCCAGGGGTTCAAGCAAATGACTCGCTCAGCTCTGTTCCACACACTTACTGGCTTGAGGGGCTGCGTTCTCAAGGAGGCTTGCCAACTCACTGGCAAATTTTCCCAGGATGAGCTTCCTCCTAGCTGGCCAGCCCAGGGGAAAGGGGTACTCTGTTGGCTGTAATACCAGCCAGAGTCCCAGGGCAGATTATGATTGGCCAGTGTGGGTCATGTGCTTTTCCCTGGATCAATGGCTGTGACTGGCCCATAGGGTATCCTGATTGGCCAGCCTGGGTTGGGGGCAGAGCCAAGTCATCCATAGCCCCTCAGATAAATGAGGTCAAGGATGGTTTCTCAGGGATAAGATGTCATTTGCAAGGTGCTCCTTTGAATGAGGGGCAGTAGGATTACTGTGGGACACAGGGGGCCTCTAATCTATTGCTCAAAGTGAACAGAATGTTAAGATCCCTCTGTTGCCTCGTAGGTCTCAAGTTTGACATGAAATACATGAATTTCCGTGTGAAGGCCTGTAATAAGGCAGTTTCAGGCGAGTTCTCCGAGCCAGTGACCCTGGAGACACCAGGTGACTGGCTCCCATCCCTACCCCGGCTGTGACTCCATAACCCCTTACTCTCAGGGCCCCAGGGACTGCTGTCTAATGAGAATCTTCTATTCAGGGTTCTGTGGCCCTTTTTGTCCTGGTTGCCAGGAAGCTCAGTGCTCAGTCTACAGTTGATTCCTTAGCCTGAGTGTCTGGCATAAACTTGGTATTGTCCTTTGGTTTTTCAGTTAATTTATGTAGTTGATTCCGTTATACGTGGATGGTTTTCACACACACACTCACTCACTCACTCTCTCTGTCTCACTCACTCTCTTTTCCAAAAGATAGCTAACTGCTCTATAGAACTGGGAATGGAATGTCAGCAGTGAAGATAGATTTCTTAGCCTCCCAGAGTGACACATTTGTGTGTCCAGATAGGAAGTCCCTCTGCAGTCTAGCTTAACTGTGTCATGCTGTAGCCCAGCCCCTTTCCTGGGATTAATCCCCAGTGGATGTGTAGGGCAGCACAGTGGTTTGAAAAAGATTTCAGACCTGGGAGACCTTTAGGCAGCAAGCTCTTGGCCTTCACTCCTCTGGCCACATGTTCTGCCCCCTCCACTCTTCCCCATCTCATCGCCTGGTGTCTTTCTGCCTGTTGTCTCCATATCTGCCTCTGAGCCTTTGTCTATTGGTCTCTTTGTCTCTCTCTGTCTCTTAGTCTCTGTTTCTTTGTCTCTTTCTGTTCTCTTTCTTCTCTCTTTGTTCCTGTCATGGCCTGTCTTGGTCACTGTCTGTCTCTCTCTGTCTCTGTGTCTCCGGGTTTCCCCATCTCTGTGACTCCCGCGTCTGCCTGGCCCCAGCGTTCATGTTCCGCCTGGATGCGTCCACATCCCACCAGAACCTGCGGGTGGATGATCTCTCCGTGGAATGGGACGCCATGGGCGGGAAGGTGCAGGATATCAAAGCTCGCGAGAAAGATGGCAAGGGGCGGACGGCGTCTCCCGTCAACTCCCCAGCCAGGTAGCCTGCCCCCTCCCCTCCCTGAGTCTCTGGTGGAGGAGATCAAGCTGGACATGGACACACAGAGCCCAGTGTGGTCAAGGCTAGGGTGGAGGGAGGGACACAGAGCTGGGCGAGCCCAAAGAGTGAATGAAAGGAGGGGAGACTTTGAAATGGGTTTTGACAGTTGAATAGGAGTTTTGCAGATGAGGAAGGGCACAGGCATGTTCTGACATGAGAGGCCCAGTGTATGAAAAGAACCACGTACTGTCAAGGAATGATGAAAAGTCCATGGTGGCTGGGGTGGGCCAGGGAAGCCCTCCTATGGGGAGGTGAGTTCTGAATTGAGCCTTCCCCATCCCTGTCACCCACAGAGGTACTCCATCTCCCAAGAGGATGCCCTCGGGTCGTGGGGGACGGGATCGCTTCACAGCTGAGTCCTACACGGTACTGGGTAAGGAGAGGAGGAGGGAGAACTCTGGGCAGGGCCCTGATGGCGGGTGATGGGAGAGAATTCCTTTGGTTGGGGAAACCAAGGCAGCTAACAAAGATTCTGTGGGAATGGTCCCAATAATGTGTTATTGTGTCACTGGGGGAGTGGGCAGATTAGGGGATGAGGGATTACTGGGGGGAACCAAAGCATATGGATGCTGTGGACTGGGGAGTGGCTGGGCTCTGGAGGGGGGATTTCCCGGGGTCTGTGGAGTAGCTGAGACTCGAGGAGTAGCTAAAAATCAGGGAGCAGCTGGGACTTGGGGAGTAGCTGGAAAGAACAGTTGCCTTTGAGCAGCTGGGTTTGTGGAGGAGCTGAAGAAAGACGGGGGCTCCAGGAGGTGGCTTAGGGTGTGTGGAAGAGCCAGAAAGAGTCACTGAGTCTAAGCTGAGAGAAGGACTAGGATTAGAGGAGTTGTAGCATCGCAGGAGTGCCTGGACCCTGTGAAGGAGAAGCTGGAGTCCAAGGAGGGGCGGAAGTTTAGAGGGAATCACCAGCATCCAGAAGAAAAGCTTGAAAAAGAGGCTGGGGTATGTGAGGAAGCCAGTGTGGTCTGTAACATATGGCAGGTGTGGGTGGAGGATGACGAAGTTGAGGAGTAGCTGGTTTTTAGGGATAAATGAACACCTGAAGAGATGTTAAGGTTCTCTGGAGGGTCTGGATTTTCTTGGAAGCATCTGGGATTGGAGCAAGTTGGGGCCTGGGGAAAAAGCAGGGAATGGTGTGGGGGAGTCTGCAGAGTGGCCAAGAGTCAAGAGGGAGATATCTCACCCATCTGACCCCCAGGAGGAGCCCGGACTCGTGGTTGGGAGCAGCAGGCCTAGAGAAGAAATGTACTTGGAGACCTGTCCTGTGTCTTGGGGGGAGCTGAGGTCTTAGATGGAGATGAGCTGCCGTCTGGTGGGGCAGGAGTGTGCGGAGAAGCTGCAGCTCAGGAGTAGCTGGATCAGGGAGTAGCTGAGGTGGCCAGAATCTGGATCTGGACTCCAGGGAGGATGTGGACCTCGGGATAAGCTAAGGGTCTGGAAGAACCTGACCTCCACAAAGGAGCTGTGGGTGTGGGTAGAACCTAGATTCAGAAAGCAAAAAGAAGGGGAGTATCTCAGCATCCTGGGGAGTATCTGGACTGCAGGAGGACTGGCTCCCCGGGGCCTGTGGGATTATGTGGAGTCGGACAGGAGCAAGGTTTGGGGATTATCTAATCTCTGGGAAGAACTGAGGACAGAGGAGTATCTGAACATGGAGGAAGTTTCTAAGGCCTGGAAGTATCTGGAAGGACTAGCTCAGACTTATAGAGAATCTGAAAGGACTAGTTGAGGCTTGGGGAGTATCTGGACTTGATGAGTATCTGGTGGGAGCTGATGGAGCCTGGGAAACACCTGGAGGCACTAGCTGTGGTCTGGCTCCCCTTTCTGGAAGGGCACCTAGGACCCGATTCTACCTAGTCCCCCCGCCCACCTGTCCCACCCTACAGGGGACACGCTGATTGATGGCGGGGAGCATTACTGGGAGGTGCGCTACGAGCCGGACAGCAAGGCATTTGGCGTAGGGGTGGCCTACCGCAGCCTGGGCCGCTTCGAGCAGCTGGGCAAGACGGCCGCGTCCTGGTGCCTGTACGTCAACAACTGGCTGCAGGTCAGCTTCACTGCCAAGCACGGCAACAAGGCCAAGGTGCTGGACGCCCCCGTGCCCGACTGCCTGGGCGTGCACTGCGACTTCCACCAAGGTGACCCCCAAGCACCCCCCGGCCCATCCAGCCGCCTTGTCCACTGTCTCCCTGCCCTGACCCCTCTTACTGGTCCCCCTGTCACTCTCGCCCTCCCCCCAGGCCTCCTGTCCTTCTACAACGCCCGCACCAAACAGCTGCTGCACACCTTCAAGGCCAAGTTCACACAGCCACTGCTGCCGGCTTTCACGGTGAGGCCTCCTCTGTGGCCCAGAGATAAGAGGGGGTGGCGTGAGTGCTGGCCTCACTGCTGAGCGTCTCGGGTCCCCTCCCTGTCCCTCAGGTGTGGTGTGGCAGCTTCCACGTGACTACAGGCCTGCAGGTCCCCAGCTCTGTGCGCTGCCTGCAGAAGCGGGGCAGTGCCACCAGCAGCTCCAACACCAGCCTCACCTAGGCCCCCAGACCGCTCACCAGCTGGGCTGATTTGGGGGGGGGCTGCCTCCAGGCCTTGGCTGTTTCAGCCGGGCACTCTCCTCTCACTTGCTGCTTGGAGCCTTAACTCCTGATGGAGGTCACCAATGGGGAGCGGGCCCTGGGGTGGGCCCTTCTCCCCACCTCACCTCCTAATAAAGGTCAAACACTGGCCAGGCTGCGCTGTTGGTTCTTTGGGACTGGGTGGCCCTGGGTGTGCCCGGCCCTCTCTGGACCTCAGCTTTCTTGGCTGTAAAGCGGGCTTTTCTTTCAGGGTCAGGTGGCAGATTTTGCTGAGCTGAGGACCCCTGGGACTGAGTGGGGCCAGCTGTGGCCAGCCATCTGACGGACCCCCGCACTGCCCCACCAAGCCAAGCCAAGCCAAATACACGGGTCCTGGGGTCTCTGGAGCTTTAATTCTGGGAGGAGGGGTCTGCCTGACTGATGAGTCATGCTTGGAGGTTGGCCTGCTGGTCCCCGGTGCGCGCAGCTGCGTGCTCCAGCGCCCGCCTCCTTTGCAGTTTCTCTTCCAGCTCTGCTGTCACATCTGCCAACCCTGGGATGGAGGGTGGGTACCCAAGGCCTCAGTGACGCCAGGGATCCCCAGTTCAGGCTCTCTCCCCTTACGTGCACCCAGGACCACTGCAGAATTTCCAGGGCCCAGCACAAAATGAAAGTGTGTTCAATGGGCATGAAGCATTTCAACACAAACACAGCAGAGCATTAACCCAAGTGTGGAGCACTCCAGAGTGTGGCTCCAATTTGTGAAGCCCACCCTGCACTGACCCCTTACCTGTTGTAGGGGAGAAAACCTGTGCTGAGCTGACTGCCAGCTTCCTTGCCAGGACACTGTTGAGGCCTTTGGGCTCTGAGAAGAAGGCAGATGAAGGCTGAGGCTGGCCCTCCCTCCACTGGATGGGGGAGGGGCTGGGAGGAGGGACCCCCTACCTGGTTTGGGCATAACAGGTGTCTTTGGAGGCTTGGCCTGAAACTTGGCCAACTTCCTGGGCTTCTGGACAACTGGCCGACTAGGGGAAGGCACTGCGTGGACAAAGATATGGTGTGTCACATCCAGTTGTTAGCCTGTTTCCTGTCCCCAGCTCTCAGCCACCCCTGGTCCCCCACCCACCGTCCCCGTTCACGTAGTTGGCAGCAGGGTCATCTCCAATGGGGATCACATAGTTCTCATCCTGGTTCGGTAGTGGGGGCAGCTTGTTGTGGCTGGACACAGGTGTGATGGATGCAGGAGGCAGCTGCTTGGGGAGTGCAGGACCTGGTGGGAAACTGTGGTCACTGTCGGGGCCCATGTGGTACAGGGACAACTCAGGGTGGGTCTGTGTGCTTCTGTGAATGGGGATGTGTGTGTGCACACCCAGACAGGCATGCGTCCCTGTGTGTGAGTGTCTGTGCACATGCCCGTTTATGAATCTGTATGTTTGTGTTTGTAGCATCAATGTGTACACTGGGTGAATTTGCAGAAGTTGAATGCATGTAAAGGTTTTCTACACATGCGCCTAACCGTGTGTATACGTGAATGACACCGCGTGGGTACTGAGGTATGGCTTGGGTGCTTGTCGGTTTTGCGTGTACACGCATGTCTGTAAAGCTCTGAATTTGTGCTTGTGAATGGAATGTCTGCATTTGTGTGCCCACACGTGGTTTTGGCTTGCTCAAGGTATATATATATGTGCTACATGGAACTGAAATTGTGTGACGCCCCTGCTCATGCATGTGTGGAGCCATTGTCTGCATAGGAGCTGATTATGCAGGTGGACACAGTTCGTGTTTGTGAGTGAGGCATGAGTGTACCTACACATGTGACCATCGTGCACATAGGCTCTGCAACATCTGCCCAGCCCAGGGGACCCTGCTGCTCATGCCACAGACCTTTCCAGTCTCTTCCTCTTGCTTCATATGCTGAACCACCTCCCACCCCAATTTCCCAACTCTACCTACTGAAATCCTTTGAAAACTTCAGCGAACACCCCCTCCTGCACAAAGACGTCCCCCTACTCTGCCCTGCCCCCTCTTCTCCCCATCTTCAGGTGCTGTCCCTGCTCCAACCCCAGGTTCAACCTCAGGGGGCTGGGAGTGTCTGTGCCCAGCCATGTCCACCCCCTCCAAAACCTGGAAGCCCCTACAGGGCACTTTCTGGGTAATTTCTGGGTCCCTGCAACTCAGGGTACAGGCCTGGGCACAGGCAGAGCCACGAGAGTCCTAAGTCTCCACTCTGCCCTGGCAGCGGCAGCGGGAAGGGGGCGTCACCTGGGCAGAGGGCCGAGGGCGCCACCCACACACTCTCGCCATTCTCTTTATCGGCCTCCACGTAGCCTGGAACAGAGAGGGTGGCCTGGAGGAGGTACGGTGGCAGGGGGCTGACCCAGGGGTGTCCCCGTCCAGGAATGGGGCGGGAGAGGCGCGGACTGGGCCCCTGAGTTCCCTGATGCTGTACCCACCTATCACTTTCTCGTAGTCCTCATCCAGCAGGAAGGGCACCAGCGCCTTATTGGTGTGCGAAACGAAATAGTTGACTACTGCGTCTAGTGAGGCACAGGAGAACTGGGGGCAGATAGGAGGTGCAGTCAGGGCCTGAGGGGAAGGGGCGCAGGTCCCGCCACTGCCCTTCTCGGGACCCCGGCCCAACGCTCACCGGCTGCTCCACGTCGATCACGTACTTGGGGCCCTCGCACTTCACCTTGTAGTGCCGGACTACCGGCGTCCTGCGAGGGCAGTGGCCTGGCTGAGGACAGGGAAGGGCCCGCCCCTCGCCGTGGCCCCGCACCCACGGAGGGCCTAACCCCACCTCCTGCTCCCCACCACACTGACCACGCCCCGTCCTGGCGTGGCTCTCTGCGGGGGATCAGGCTCTCGACTGACTCCACCTGCACGAAAGACCCTGCCCCTGGTCCTGGCCCTGCGCCCCACCACCCGGCCCCAGGACCATGCCCCAAAGGAGTTCACCCCGGGGAGGCCTCGCCCCCGTCCTGGCTCCGCCCCTTGGCCCTGACTCCACCTTTGACTTGGCCCCGCCCCTAACTCTCAGCTCGCCCCCGCGTCCCACGGCCCCCCAACCCCGGCTCCGGAGCCACGCATGCGCACCCGTTGAGCGCCTGGCGAGTGGTGACCGACACGCCACCAGAGCCGTCCCCGCTGGGCCGCAGCAGAAGGTTCCCGCACTCCGGGTAGCGCTCCAGGAGCAGTTGAGCCTCCAGCCGGCTCACCTGCAAGAAGCACCTGGGGCGGGCCGCGTCACTCACCAGGAAAGGCCCCGCCCCCAGGGACACAGCCACGCCCTCCCTTCGTAACCCCGCCTCGAGAATACAGCCGCGCCCCTGAACGTAACACGCCGCGTCTCCGGGTACCCAGCCACGCCCACTCGTCCACAATCTCGCTCTTGGAGACGCTGCCTCGCACTTCAGGCCCAGGCTGTGCCTCGGGAGACTCAGGGCTGTCCTCCAGGTACAGAGTCCAACGCTCAGAGACCCAGACCCGCCTCCCAGGCACCGAAACCCGTCCCTGGAAAACATGTCCCGCCCCTAGACACCCAGTAGGGCTCACAGCAGTGAGACCTAACCCCCGCCCCTGCCCGGATGCAGCCTTGTACTCAACGCAACACCCAATGCCTGCAGACCTCACTCACTGTCCACCCTCAGCCCCAAGCTTTCCAGCCCGCGACCATCCTGGAGATCCTGGTCCACTTACGAGGGCATCTCGAGCGCACGGCGTGCCTCCTCTTTGGCCAGGGCTTCGGTCATCATGTACAGGTGTCCGGGAAGTAGGGTCAGGTTGAATGGGACACGGAGCTGAGGGGTGATTGGGGCGTCAGGGAACGGGCGGCTGTGCCCATGTCACAGAGGGGCAAACTGAGGCCAGGGTGTGGATGGAGCTAGGATGGAAACTCAGGTTTGGGGCTCCAGAGCTTCTTGACACCTCAAGTGCAAAGAGGGCTTAAAGAGGATGCGCAGAGAGACGGGTGCTGGGGAGGAGAGTGTGGCAGATGCTAGAATGCAGGGTCTCAAATTCAACAGCCTGCAGGGGTCAGGCAGGGAACAAATGAGTAAAATAGAAATCAGGAATATTGACTAAAACTCCTGGTTTTTAAGTGATAGCAGCTAACTTTTAAATTTATAGCACTTTGTTGGCAGGCAAAACAAAAGACATTTATGGGCTACATCTGGCTCATAGGCCTCCAGTTTGAGACCAGTGTGCTATGCTCAAGAGGTTTTTTGGGGGAAGGTTGGAAACACAAAGGAGGATTTCTGAGCAGGCCTAGTGGGGAATGGGAGAGAGGGGGCTGAGAGCAGCCACTCTTACCTCCACCACCGTCATGATGAAGCCTTTCCACATCTCCCGAGACTCCAGACTCTCCACCTGGGGAGGGAAAGAAAAAGATTCCAGGTTGATGAGCGTCTGTCTAGTCATCTGTGAAGCTGGAATGAGAAATGAGTCCCTGTTTCCAAGGGCTGTTTTGAAGATTAAATGAGTTAGAACAGATTCATTTAGGATGACGTCTGGATATAAATCCTTAGTAATACAGGGTATTATTATTCTTTAATCTTATTACATCAACATTTTTATAAATGTGTAAATCAGATGATGTATCTCCTATCCTTAAAACCCTCCCTTGATTCCTGCCTCCCTCAGGGTACCAGTCCAGGTCCTCCCTGTGCCCCACAAGGCCCTGCATGACCTGCCCTGTCCCCTCCCTGCCCTCCCCTCCTCCCTCTCTCCACCTCACTCACTCTGTTCCAGCCACATGGACCTCCTCGCTGTTCCTCCAACACACCAGGCACAGTCCTGCCTCAGGGCCTTTGTACATGCTGTTTCCTCTGCTGAAGAGCTGTTTCAGAGATATCTACACTGCTGGCTCCCTTACCTCCTTCAGGCCTTCAATACCGGCTTTCCTGATCATACCTCTTAACATTGCAATCCTGACCCCCCATCCCCTTTCCCCAGTACTCGTCTCCCTAGCATCTACCACCAATCTGACACTCCATATATTTTACACATTTACAGTAAGGATTTTTAATTGTTTTATTCACTGCTGTGTAACTAGAAGGGTGTCTGGCACATAGTAGGTGCTCAATAAAATTAGCTGAAAGATAGAGTATGACAGTGATGATCCTTTTGGATCAGATCTTGTTTTGGGCACTGTACATGTATTATCCCATTTTTCAGTTGGGAAAACTGAGGCTCAGTGACCTACCCAGTGTCACCAACCCAGTAGTAGACTGCAACACCATGCTAGTGTGTGTTGATGGTAGGTGCAACAGGGAGGGAGGGTCTCCCACCAGCCCTACCTAGAGACCTACCTTGAACTTGATCTCCTGGTTCCGCAGGACCAAGCAGAAGTGGGTGCCAGGGTCTTGGGAGCTCCCCCAGGGAGCCTCATCTCTGAGCTTCACAAACACTCCTAGGTCTAGCTTCTCCACGTACTGGGGGCACAGAAGCCAGGGTCTGAGCACTACACCTGTGGTCCCTCGGGCCTCCTGACTTGAACACACCACCCACACCCTCTGCTTGGTCCCTGGGGTCAAGGGTGGACCAGCTCTTGAGCCTTCACTTCCATTCTTACCTGGGAGTCCCGATTACTATTGTAGAAATAAAGAGTCAGGCCCTGGAGGCCTGCCCAGAACTTCTTGTAATCCTGTGGAGAAGAGGTGGAGAAAGAGAAGGAAGTGAGGTGGCAAAGCTGGGTACCTCTATTATACTCTGCCTCAGGACCTTTGCACTAGCTGTTTGCTTTGCCTGAATACTCTTCTAGATTTTTACGTAGTTTCCTTCATCACCTGCTTTGGCTCTTTGAACAATTGTTGCCTTCTCAGGGAGGCCCTCTCCATCCATGGCCCAGCTTCTGGGGATCTGTTATTCTCCAAGAAAGGACCAAAGGGAATCTACGAAGGTGGGAGTTCTAGGAGTAATTAGAGCTAACTCACTTTATGGTGTTCCATGCATCCATCTACCCATCCACACATACATACAAATATCCCCCATCCCTTTATGCCATAAATATTTAGTGGCATCTCCTAGGTGCCAGGCACTGGGCGAGGTGCTGAGTCTACAGTAAGATCCTAGGATTTTTTTTCACAAGATATTCCCTAAGCACCTACTCTGCACCCAGCTCTGTTGCAGGCAAAATAATAAATGGGACATGGCATCTGTTGCTAAACAGATAATGTGTCAGAAGGATAGAGAAAGCACAGATACTAAAATTGTCCAGAGAAGAGAAATTAGTACCCTCAGGGAGGGACAGAGCCTGGGCCGAGATCACAGAGGAGGAGAGAGGCCCTCCGACTGGGAGATCTGGGAAGACTTCCTGAAAGAGGAGTTACTTTGGTTAGTCCATAGTGATAATGAGGGTAGCTTTTACACCAACAGTGATCATCCATCCAGCAATCCACCTACCAATCCATCCATCCTTTCATCCACTTATGTCCCCACCCACCCATCCATCTATTTGTCTACAGGCATGCCTCATTTTATTGCACTTCACAGGTACTGCTTTTTTTGTTTTTAACAAATTGAAGGTTTGTGGCTACCCTGCATTAAACAAGTCTATCAGCAAAATTTTTCCAAGAGCATTATTTTTAAATTAAGGTATGTACATAGTTTTTCTTTTTTTTTTTTAGACTTAATACTATCACACATTGAATAGACTCCGGTATAGTGTAAAGATCACCTTTACATGCACTAGGGAACCAAACAATTTATATGACTCACTTTATTGCTGAGAAGGAAAAGCCGGGCTGGGCTAACAAGATAACTCATAAATCTAAGTGCAACAAGTGTTGGTTTACTGGGCTAACTTTTAAATCTAAGTTAGTAAGTGTCAGTTTGCTGATTCCCTGTTCATGTTTTTTTCCTAGCCAGCTGGATTTTCAAAGAGACATATCTGGTCTTGAAATGTTGGTTTGCTGCCTTCCTGCCTCTACTTTTGTGATAATGATGCTGCTAAAGCTGTTCCACGCCTATTGGCCGAATACCCCAAGCTTGTAATTAACCCTATAAAACCTCATGCACACGTCTTGGAGATGCTCAGAGCTTCGGAGCAGAAGCCCCTCTGAGCCTGCCAGCGTAATAAATCTGAGTACTCCAACCCTCCAAGTGGTGCTCGTTCCTTGGCTGGCCTGTCATTTCCGTAACATTGCAATATTCACTTTTTTTTCATTGCATTTCTTTTTTTAAATTTTATTTTATTGAGTTATAGTCAGTTTACAATGTTGTGTCAATTTACAGTGTGAGCACAATTTTTCAGTTATACATGAACATACATATATTCATTGTCGCATTCTCTTTCACTGTGAGCTAACACAAGATCTTGTATATATTTCCCTGTGCTATATAGTATAATCTTGTTTATCTATTCTATATATACCTGTCAGTATCTACAAATCTCGAACTCCCAGTCTGTCCCTTCCCACCCACCTCCCTTACAATATACACTTTTTTGTGGTGGTCTGGAACCAAACCTTCAGGGTCTCCAAAGTATACCTGTATTTACCCATCCATTCACCTATCTGTCCACCCATAGATACATCCTAGATACAGACATACATTTAACTAACATTTACTGAAGACCTGCTATATGCCAGCCACTGGGAATAGAGCAAAAAGTGATTAAACTCAGCATGGTCAGACCTGCTTCGTCAGGCTCCAGCTTGTGCCATGGCACAAGTTATTTAAGTTCTCTGTGCCTCAGTTTCCCCACCTAGGAAATGGTAATGATAATGGTACCTGCCTCAGAGGCTGTTGTGAGAATTGGATGAGTTAATACATGCAAAGCACCAGTGCTCCCACTGAGTCAGCTCCTGGGCATGCTAAGAGCTACTCTCCTCCTGAAACCGTGACTGTTTTCTTCTTCAACCCATTTTATAATGGGGGAAACTGAGGAACAAAGATGCAGAATCACTGATACATGGCCTGGGCATTGGGAAGGCGTGGAGCAGGGCTGTTGACCTGGGTCTCGCACTCTGGGATCTCACGCTCTTTCTTAACCCCTGTGATCTCCTGCCTCTGAGTGCTTTCTAGGCTAGGGAGGACTTGGAGGCAAGGAGGCAGAAGGAAAGAACGAAGAAACTGCCCTGGCAAAGGCAGGGGAAAGCATGGTTGGTTTGGGTCCTAGTAGGAGAGATGGGACCTAAGTGGGAACCGAGAGGCTGGGGTTTATTCTCACACACAGACACAGACACAGACACAGACAGAGACCACACACACACACACACACACTGGGCCCCTGGCCAGTATCTGGTCCTGTGCAATGTAGCCCCCACCCCCCAACTCTCACTGTCCACACCTGCAATCTGTGCCACCCTTGACCTCTGTGGCTGAGGTTCACAGACAAAACTCTGGGCTGGGGGAGGAGGGAGGCATGGGAATCAGAAGGCTCTCCATTTCCTGGAGGAAGAACCTGATCCTATTTGTATCCAAGAGACAGAGAGATTGAGACCAAGAGAGAGACAGATGGAGCCAGGCAGGGAGAGACACAGAGAAAGAGAGAGAGACGAGGGACAGAATCTTCCCCAGCCAACCCCCCAATCCATGCCCTACCCTACCCAGCACCCACCCCACCCTCCTTGCCCGGCTAGGGAGGTCTAGGCTCAGAGAGGTGCCGCACCTGCCCAGGTGGCCCAGCAGTGACAGCTCCCTGGCCTGTCTTACCCGGTCTCGGGGTCCCTTCTTTTCCAGAAAGCTCTCGTAGTAGTGTGAGGGCTGGATGCTCTTGGGCTTGGGGAGCCGGGGTGGGCTCAGGGCCAAGGCCATGGCAGGCCTGGGTCTTTGGCCCGGCCTCTCCCTCCAGTGGGTGCACCAGCTGAGCCAGGAAGCTGAGAAACAGGTTCCAGGGGAATTTCCTCTCCTCTGTCAGCTCCCGAGCTCCCTCCCCTGACAGCACTGGGCGGGGGCTGGGCTGGGGCAGGACCTGCCCATGGATCCCAGGGAAATCCCGGCCTCTTAGGTCCCTGCAGGAGGTCAGGAAAGGCTGGCTGGCGTAAGGGAATGGAGGAGAGTCTTTCAGTGCCGGGCGGGAGTGGGGTGAGGGGCAGCCAGGGCACCAGAGGGGGACCTGCTTAAGCAAAGGCCTGAAAGGGAGAAAGGAAGGACTCTGGTGCCAGAGTAGTGAGGGGATGTGACCAGAGAGTGACACAAGTTCCAGGCGGCCCCTTAGGTGGCCTGGATGTTAGAACTATCTTGCTTGTATCTACCAAAAAATCTTGCAGCAATTTTGATAGGAACAGCACTAAACCTGTTTATCATAAGTTGGAGGAGACTTGACATCTTGATGTACAGTGTTGAGTCTTCCAATCCACAGACCTGGCCTTTCTTTCTCTCTTCAGGGGTGGGTAGGTAATTAGGTTTCTAATTATTTATTTTAATGGAGGTACTGAGGATTGAACCCATGACCTCCTGCATGCCAAGCACATGCTCTACCACTGAGCTATACTCTCTCTTCCTTCGACCTTTTTAAAGGGCCCTTGTGATTGATTACATTGGACCCACCCAGATAATCTAGGGTAATCAATCTCTTTATTTTAAAATCAGCTGATTAGCAACTGTAATTCCATCTGCAACTTTAAATCCCTTTTGTCATGTAACTTAAATAGTCACAGGTCCTGGGGATTTGGATGTGGACATCTGTAGGGAACCATTATTTTACCTGCCACAGCCTGTTAAATATGGTGGATAACACTGATTGAATCTGGTACACTGAACCAGACTTGCATCCCTGGAATAAACTCCACTTGGTCATGATGTGCAATTCTTTTTATATATTGCCGAATTCTATTTCCTAATATCTTGTTAAGGACTTTTGTGTCTGAATTAATGAAGGATGTTCTGTATTTTACTTTGTACTCTCCTTATTTGATTTAGTATCAGGCTAGTGCTGGCTTTATAAAATAAATCAGGAAGTGTTCCCTCCTCTTCAGTTTTCTGGAAGAGATTATGTGAAAGTAGTGTTAATTCTTTGAACCTTTGTAGAATTCTCTATCTAGGCGTGGAGATTTCTTTTTTATGATTTTTTTGGGGTTGGGATCTAATTAGGTTTATTTATTTATTTATTTATTTTTAAGAGGAGGTACTGGGAATGGAACCCAGGATCTTGTGCATGTTAAGCATTTGCTCTACCACTTGAGCTATACCCACCTACCACTTTTTTGTGATTTTTGAAATTACAGATTCAATTTATTGAATAGTTATAAGGCTCCTGGACTTTATACACATAGCAAAGAATAGCCTTTGGAATCCACCCAAGAACTGTGTGACCCTGGGCAACCTCTTCATCTGCTGAACTGCCTAGTGTTCTTGATTACAAGACCTGCCATATAGGGGTGCCATAAATGGTTAATAGTTAATAAAGTTACGGCAACTAGTTTTAATTTTATTTATCAAAGGCAATGGGGACACACAGAAGGATTTAGAGCAGGGGAGGGAGATGGTCATAGCTGTATTTTATTTTATTATTTATTTATTTATTTTCAGGGGGAGGTAATTAGGTTTACTTACTTTTTTGATGGAGGTACTGGGAATTGAACCCAGAACCTTGTGCATGTTAGTCATGCACTCTACTACTGAGATATACCCTCCCCCCGCATAGTTGTAGTCAATCAAGATGGGAGAAGGGTGGGGTTGGGGGTGAATATGGAGGCCTAGAAGATGGCCAGGGTCCAAATGAGAGAGGCTGGAGGTCCAGCCCAGGGTTTTTGAAGAGAAAATAGGCAGGGGTATAAGCGGCCATTTGGGTTCTGCTGAGTCTGAGTGGCTGGGGGATACCCAGTTGGTGGCTAGACCTCAGGTAGGGGTGCGGTGGGGTGACTCCAAAAGGAGACTTGGACTGGACAAGAAGTGTGTCGACAAAAATTCAATTGACTATTAAATTAAGAAGAAAAGAAAGGGAATTTTATTTGAGCCAAATTAGGGATTATAACCCAGGAAGCATATTCTCAGAAAGCGCTAAGAACTGTTCTGCCTGTTAGAAGTTGAAGGCATAGTCCATGCATTTGCAAGACAAAGGATCCTGTGTACATCAAAGTGACATACTGATATTTCACGTAAAATTCACCAAAGACGCATTGTCCAGGTAAGCAAGTACAAAGGGGGCAGCAAGTCATCATGCCCCCTACAGAGTGGGGAAAGAACGCCATTCTTTTAGGTTGCCAGCATTAGAAGAAAGAAAAAAATAGATCTTGACTGTCAAGCAGGCATTCACATCTTTGAGGATCTCTGGTTAATGTGTAATGAAATGCAGTTGTACGCTGTCCGTTAGGGAGGAAGGAGGCCCAAACAAACAGAATTTTGTTTATTTTTCCTTGTCGTGCCTTAAAATACAAACTTCATTTCATCGTAAGTAATAACAATCATTCACATTCCTCAGCTCCTACTATTTGTCAAGCCCTGTTCTTTAACAACTTGAAGCTGGAACTGTTATTCCCACGGGCAGACAGAGAGGTGGAGACACTTGGCCTAAGTCACAGAGCTGGTAAGTGGTGGAGCAGGATTTGGAGCTAGGTCCAGTCTGATTCCAGATCACCCTGGCTGGACACCCCGGCCCTGCCCCCACCCCCAATGTCCTGTCCCCTCTTCCAGACTGTCCTCCGGATACACCTATCTGCAGCTGAGCCCAGTCAAAGCTGCCCTGCAGCTTGGAATCCCCACCCCAGGTTTTCAACCCTGCCCGGGACTGGGAATTCCAGTGCTGGGAGGTAACCCTGTGTATTGAGGTAAAGGTCCCGGAACAGTGACCAGAGACAAAAGAAAGGGCTTCAGCCCTCTGGCACACTTCCATCCGGGCTCCGCCCACGAGCTCCGCGCCGCGGGGTTGGGGGACCGCGGTGGACTGGTCGGAGGAAGTAGTAGTTTAACACTGATTGGCTGGAAGCAATCCAGCCTCTACTGTCTATTGGCTGAAGATGAAAAGGCCCTTCTCTAATTGGTTGGCGGGCTCCGCTCTGGTCCAATCAAGGAATCAGCCTAGGGGCGCCCCGAGGGTGGAGCTAACCCTTTAGAGACTGCCACCTGGCTTCGGTGCTTTATATTCGCGGCGCGAGGTTGCTTCCCCATTCTGTCCTGCAGCCCTATTGTGGTTAATTCTCCCGGGCGTCAGTTTCTCCCCTGGTCCCAGCAGCCGAAGCCTGTGAGTCTCTCAAAAGGGCTGGTCGCGGAACTCAATTTCCCCGCTTGTCGTAGTGGACTGGGCCCCCCAGTCCACAATCGAGTAGGCTATGTCCTTGGGTGGAGTCATTAGTTCTCTGAAAGTGGAAGTCTCCGGCCTCAGTTTCCCCAATAGCACCATGAGCGCTGGGTTACCACCCCCCTCCCATTTTAGGTGGCCTCGGGCCTCAGTTTTCCTAATGGTCCTGGAGGGCTGAGGGCTCAACTCCCTCTCCCGTGCGCGCAGGCCAAGTGCCTCGGTTTTCCCGTTTGCTCCAGCGGGCCGAGCCCCAACCCGCCCACCGGCGGTGACCAATGGCTGGGGCGCTCCCCGTTCGGGGCGGAGTTTCGTCACGTGCCGGGAAGAA